TTTGATCATATGCGCGTTATTTTAGTGAGATACGCTTCTCTTCCTTGGTTCCTGCTGCTCCCATTTTGCATATACGCTTTTTGGATAATTATAAACCCAAAATTTGGGGAAATGTAGATTTTATCTTTTTTCTATAGGTATGTATGAGATAGAGCCTAAAATTCTGCATCTAATGATATAAAAAAATAAAATTCAGGAAAATGCGAGATACGCTTCTTCTCCTTTGGACGGCAGCACGATGTAGGCATAGCGACAGTTCAGAGCTGAGCTCGTTGGTCGATGGTTCTCTGAGCAGAATATGGACGTTGTAGTCTAAGAACATACCATTAATTCGTCACCAGATCTAGCACGATTAATTCATCAACGGACAACGAAGAACGTACAATTAATTTGCAGAACCGTACAATTACCAATCGCACAAATAACTTATACCATAACAAACATAGGGCCTGTCCGGCTGGCTGAGTCGTTGTATATCGGCACATACTGCGGTAACCGGCACATACCGGCCACCGTTTATGCGGATATCCAACCCATCGCCCTCTGCCATCCACAATAGTCATATCAGCAGTTGGCCCACAACAGCGGAGCTACGGCTAGCTCCTCGCTATTACCGGGGAGAGTCGGGTGAATCGGGGGTGGATCGGGAACGCACCTGGCCGGTCCGGGTGTAGCAGCGTGTGTATGGTGTACTGGCCCTGCAGTACCCGGTCCAGGAACACCTTGGTGGCTGAGACACTCCCGTGACAGGGGCTGCAGATGCGCCGCGGGTGTCGGCCGTCATCGAACACCTTCGAAAAACAGGGAGACGATTGGTCAGACCAGGTCAGAGCCTAGTATGAGATGGGATATAAGCACCTGGATGTGATTTGCATTCTGCTTCTCATTTGGGTACATGGAGAAAACAGATTTATCAACTGCAAGCCTCCATCATAGCCCTGTTCAAGTGCTCTGCGGCCGCCGCGGCTCCCGCGGCCGGGAGGCAGAGCCTAATATCGGTTAGGTTGAACACCCTCGCGGCTGCGGCCGCTGCGGCCGGCGACGAGAGTGGCACGGTTGTTTTGAAAGGAGATGCTGATCAAAATTTTGTGTGTAATGGCTTTATAATGGCTTTGTTACTTCAATTAGTACCTTTTTGAAGCAAGTATTCCTTAACCCGCGCGGGGCTGGGGGGGTAAATTTTACCCCCCCCCCCCTCGCGAATTTTTGCAATATCGCAAAAACGGCGGCGCGCAGCGCCGCCTAACTTTTAGTTCCTTTTCTTACATCAATTTGACACGTTCCCTGAAAATTTGAGCGAAATCCGTCGGAAAATTTTTTGAGAAATTGACGTTTTAGTGACGTCATGTTCGCCATTTTCGCCTCAAAAACGGCAAAATTTCAAACGCCGCTAACATCTTCATTTTTAAAGGAATCAAGACGTTACAAAAAAGGTTATACGTAATTCTACTTTGTCTATCAAATGGCTATCTCGGTTTTTTGAAAATTTTGGATTTTGGCCCAAATTTTTTCAAAAAACTGACTTTTTTGGGAAAATAATTATAAAATCCAAAATTTTGAGTGTATAGAAAAAACCGGAACATACGTCAGAGAAGTGGTCTATGTGCACCTACATACCAATTCTTAGAAGAATCGGTTCAAAAATGTGGGAGTTATTCAAGATTTTATGACGTCACGACACACAAAAATTTTGAAAAATGATTTTTTTTTGGAAGTTCTAGACCTCGTACGGAAACAAAAATAGCACCATTCGATTCGCCGTGAAAAACTGCATCAGATAGACACCTTTTTAGGCCTTAACAACCAACTTCAAAATTTGACCTCACTTGACCTGACCTTGACCTGACCTCGACCTGAAATTCATCCAGAGGTGGTCCATATCACTTATTGAGTGTGCCTATTGAATTCTATGAGTAAAATGACCCATAAAACATGTGTCGCACATGCCCTTTTCTATATTTTGTTTTTTGGTGACCTGACCTGACCTGACCTTGACCTTGACCTCTGAATGATATTGTATGCAACGAATATTGTCTTGGTAGCCTAAGAACACGTTTTGGGCAATCAGTCTCAGTCGATGACTCCATTCTTCGGCAACTACGGTGCAAGGTCGATACTGTAGAAACTTGCAATTTGTACCCTTGACCTGACCTTGACCTTGACCTCAAACTTTAAATTAAGTACATGTTTTTAGCTGTTCGTGATGAGATCTTTCGATTGGCGTTTGATTTTTCCAAATCGGACCATTAGTTCGGAAGATAACAGGGGGGTAAAATTTACCCCCCCCCCCCCCCCCCCCAGCCCCGCGCGTTCGGCTGGAGACCCCAGCCCCGCGCGGGTTAACAACATAATAAAATCAACCGAAACAAAGAGGGAAATCCGCAATGTTTTGTCTCACGCGCGCAGTTTATGTCGAAGCTTCCCTGCGGTCGCTCCCGAGCGGCCGCGGGAGCCGCAGGAAGAGCTACGCATTACCCAGAATGCTGCTCTCGCCTGATTGGCCGCCAGCTAAGCTCCGCCTTTTTGGCCGCGGGAGCCGCGGCGGCCGCAGACACTTGAACAGGGCCCATGTTTAGAAGGTTGATAAATCATTTTGTCATTATCTGAATAAAGTAATAATCCTACAGCACAACAACTGTCAACAGTACTTCATGGGAGAGAGGCAATGAGTCCATGAAAGCAGAGTTTATCTGTGCAGTTTGAGAGACAACAGAATATCAAGTTAAAGAGTTAACATGACTTGGAATATTTTTAAAAGGTAATGACTGACAATTATGTGAATAGCAATCTGATAATCTTAAATACTGCTCATCTCAACTGTTCATCTTATCTCAGTACCAACCTGAAATGGAAGATATTTGTTGATTTTAATGCAGAATGGCTCCTCATCTTCTGCATCAAATATGGAAATTGTGTTTTCAGATTCTGCTCCACACAGCCTGCATATGTTGCTGTCAGCAAGGCCACTGGTTCCCATCTTCAAGCTTATATAGTTCACCTGAACATAATTCCTGCCAAGCCTGATTGAAAGTTTTCTATGAATGTAAAACCATCTTCACAGCTAGTTTCTGAAAAAAGAAGGACCACAACCTGAAACAAGAAAGCATTCAAAATGCAACAATATTTCACTTACTTTCACATCAGTTCTAGCAGGTAAACCCCTAAGTGATTATTGTAAATGTCTAGCTCAATTGGTGCAATAAAACCCATACTAGGTACCTACTCATGAAAAACACCCTGAGAGTCACAAGCCAATCTGTGACTGTATTTTTTCAAAGTTTTACCCAATTATATCAACATACACAGACAACAGTAGTACTACTGTTACAGATAACAGTAGTACTACTGTTATCTGTGCAACATAGTATGCAATGGCACAAGCTTTGGGCTATAATAAAGCTAGTTAGTGTCTCAGCCAAACTACCTGGAGGCTGGAATCATAGTTAGTCAGCCCTTATCTCATCCTTAGAAATTCAGGAATTCACAAAATAAAAACATCAAATGAAAGAACACTCAATTATGGGCTGGAAAAGTGACACATGACTATCAATTATGGTACCATTTTTACAATAAATCATAAATACACTAGCACAACACCACTGAACTCAGGGCAACTAAAGTAAATGTTCATATTTTCATGGAACCAGCTGTTGAGTAATGGCGTGACAGAAAAATGGAAGGCACCAATTCATTTATGCCTTGTTTGTGATGGGTCTTATTAGATTAGGTGCAAACACCATTAAAAGGGGGAAGAAATCCTCTATAAAATCACGTCAAATTAGTGCATGCATGTTGTAAAGCATTGGCACACTATTAGCTTTTGGAATGAGCGTCAGAAAACTGAGTGAAACGAAATTACCAAAGCATACTATCATGCACTTATCTAACATTTCCAGCTAACCACTCTCAAACACTGGAAATATCAATGTTAAACATCTCCCATGCATTATTCCAATCTGCACCATATTTCATTCATCTCCTATTCTTGTCCTTCATGTGGCCTCAGCAATGTAATCCATTCAGTATTGCATGTGACCAGACACAAAAGTAACAATTCATTTCAAGCCAAACCTGGGTGGTGTTTCACCAATGATAGCAGCACGACGCTATTCCATTTCACGAGCTGTCACACTCGTGGTAGTGTTGGAGCAATGGGCTTGTTGATGTCCCCATGGAAACCCAATTTGACACGTAGAATAGCAGCATGCTGCTATCGACGGTAAACACCACCCCATGATTGTATCTAATCCAATCAAATTTATTATTTTGATTTAACCTATCCCAGCCAACTGAGGCGTTTGCACTTTGCCTTGCGCCTACTGCCAAAGATTCAAGAAAATCTCAATCTCCATGTTGTTTCCTTTACCTTGGGAAGTCCACATTTACTTCGTGCATTTACTTGAGTAACTTGAATCCCTAAAATGCCCCTTGAACCGCTTGAATCTTGCGCTTGGAGAATAATTCAAGAAATAATATTCATGAATCGGACGACGGTGAAAACAGGGCGCCTGGGGCGATTTGATCAAGGTTCGTGAAATTTACACGTGACGTTTGGCATATAGAAGGCCCATGGAGCGGGAGAAGTTCCAAATGTCACGTGACTAATATGCCCTCCGGCGCCCTGTTTTCACCGGCGTCCCATGAATCGAGTCAAGGCTCGAGTCATGCTTGATAAAAAACAAGTGTTCGGAGACTAGGAGAGAAGAGCAGATATGATGTTTGATGACGTTTTATAGTTTTTAATTTTCCAAATATTCCAAAGCGTGACACGAATTTAAAGCATTATTTTATGTATTTCTAATTTTAAGTTTATATTCGATAATAATTAGCATTTAATTCACCAATTTGGATAACAAATTTGAAAAACGAAAATAAAATGAAACGCAAAATGACGTTCTTTTTGACTGAAGTTCTGCTCATTCTGCTAACATATGCATATCCTACTCGCTTGAATAGGGTTTGACAGTTTTCGTCTTTCAATTCCTTCCCCTCGTGAACGTGGGAAAGGAATCAAGTTGAAGTAAAGAAATCAAGAAAAGTGAAAGAGGGCGCATTTTTGGAATAAATTTGTAAGCCTATATCACAGTACCTACGATAATTTAAGTGTACCATTTTTGTGTGCGAATATTTGTGCTGATAAATTAAAGAAGAGAGCAAGCTTGTTATGGAACCCATTCTGAATGGCATCTCATCTCCAGATGCTGAAGTTGAGGCTAAGGTAAAAAGGGTAAATGTCAAGTTTAAGTCCTAAGCAGATTTCATGGATAATTTTTTCATATTCTTACATTATTTGACATCCTGAATCCAAAAATGATACTTAAATGTCTCTCAAATAAAGGAAAAAACATAATCAAACCTGACCTAACCTTACCTACTTACCTAAAACCTACCAACCTAAAACCTACAAACCTACAACCTAACAACCTAAAACCTACAAACCTACCTACCTACAACCTAAAACCTACAAACCTACAACCCAACCTAACCTAAAACCTAAAATTTTTGCTGTTATATATTCGTATCAACAGCGCCGCAATTGTAGTTAGGACCTAAACTTGACATATACCGTAAAAAGACCAATTTTCAGCCCATAGACAAAGAATATAATGAAAAGTCTCTTTCTCCAATGCTTTTTAATGTTTATTCACTGCAAAGGGTTAATGAGTAATGATAGTCGGATAATTTATGAGTTGGGGACGGGGGTTAGGGGATGAGGTAGGTATTTTTCTTTAGTAGGTAGGTATCTAGCTGTTTGCCTCATGATCTTCATATTGATGGTTGATATATAACTTTAAACAGCTCATTCGGTGATCAGATTTTGTTTTTATCCATCGAATTTGTTTCAGCCGCTGAACCTGGTGACTCCAAGTATTCCCACCAAGACACCAGTGTCCCTGCTCCAGGAACTGGCTGCCAAACAGTGCATCACACCCAAATATGACCTTCTTCAGGTGAGCTGAACTTTGTTTACTGGCTGAGCTTAATGCTGTTTTATACTTCCTCCTCACATAGATTGTGTCATGGGAGTCACCACTCACCATCCCTCTAAAGTGTTGGACCTTCTGACCAGGAGGCAGGATGTACACCAGTCTTTGAATATGCTAACTGCTAAGGACAATGTTGGACTGACTCACTCACATACAAGATGTTTTTCCACTTGCTGAACCTCACTCCAGTAGGCAAAGGGTGTAGAAATGTGTGCATGTGATCTGAAAGTCCCCCCCCCCCCCTACAAGTGTTGAAGACATTGCTGTGTGGCACTGGCCAAATATTCATGGTCAGTGGGACATATTGCGCCCTTCTATTCCCTTCCTGAAGGAAGAGGGCAGTCCTGAGGCTTGCATGGCATCCTGTGTGGCCTGACATTCCATCCGCTGCTGTCTGGCCCCCACTGATGCAAGGCACCATCTTTTGTGATGTGATTCAGTTGGTGGTGTGATATCCAACTCTCCTTCTCTCTCCCCTGCCTGCAGAGGCTGCTCTCCAATGTCTTTACAGGTGACACTGACAAACCATCCGCACATCCCCACAGGTATGAGGTAGATGTCCCTGTCCTGTGACAGTGTTCTGATATTGCACTTTACCTGCCCTCCCCCCCCCCCTCAAGATAGTCCCATGGTTTGAGACTCCATCCTCCCCTGCCCCTCCCGCTCACAGGTAGAGGGCGCCGTCCACGAGCCGACGTTCCTTTACCGCGCCACGGTCGGAGAGTTCGTGGCCAGCGGCCAGGGCCAGAGCAAAAAGAAGGCCAAGCACATGGCGGCGCGCGCCGTGCTGGACCAGCTGCTGGGTCAGCAGGCGGCCACGCCGCTGGTGCCGTCAGCGCGGCCGGCGGCGCTGGCCGAGCTGCCGCTGCTGCCCTGTGAGGACGACGCGGCCGGAAACCCGGTGGGCCGGCTGCAGGAGCTGTGCATGTCGCGCCGCTGGCCGCCGCCCACCTACGAGCTGGTGCACGAGGAGGGCCAGCCGCACGAGAGGACGTTCACCATCGCCTGCTGCATCGGCACCAAGGCCAGGGAGATCGGTACGGAAAGGCGGGGACGTACTGTGCAGGGACGGGTGGTTCACAGACACTACCGCGGCGGGACGGAAGGGTCATGAAAGCTGGACTGAGCATCGTCAACGGTTCGGAATTTGTCGTAAACGTCTATTTTCGGGAATATTACATTTTTCAGCTGTTTGATTTTTACTCAATTTTCTTCCGATAAAATAACGTAATCTTCGCTGAAGCATTACCTTGCTGGCAAATTAGAGACGGGCACTCATAGTAATGAGCTGGCTTGAGACCGTATTAGTTCGGTCCGCCATCTCGCTCTGTCAGCCCGTCACCGCTCTGTGTCGGTAACGCTCCGTGATCCATCCCTCAGGCGTGGGCAAGTCGAAGAAGTGCGCCAAGCGCCAGGCGTCGTCTCTGATGCTGTCCAAGCTGCGCGACTCGTCACCGGCCGACGGCGCCAGCTTGCTCGATGACGAGGACGAGGTGGGCGTCCGGTGGTCCGGGAAGCGGGACTGGAGCTTACTCAGGGACTGGGGCAAGGTGGTTGACCCACCCACCATTCTTGATTCCCTCTCCGGGACTGTGGATCAGCTGGGACTGTGGTGTTAATTTTTTCGGTAAATGAAGCCGTGTAATTTGTTCCGTCGATACCCCGGTGTATGAAAATGTGTCTTGCTGACCTCCCACCTAGGCTGTAGCATCTCTCTATTAATTTTTTGTCGGTAGTCATTCATAGCCATTTCGTCATTGGTGTTATGCTCTCCTTTTCCTATGGCGTCACAATTTTCGTGTTGCTTGTCCAGCTGGCGCTGAAGATGTCGAGCTGCGCGAGTCTGAGGGACGGCTGGCAGCCAAAGCTGGCGCAGCAGGGCGGGGCACGCGTCAGCCAGTTCCACCGCAGCCTGAAGACGTCCACCGCGCCTCTGGTCACACAGCTACAGGTACTGGTGGAAGCGAGGAAGCGGGAGGGAGGGACAGTTTATTACCGGGGAAGGGGAAGTTTTAAGCGTAGATTGAAGGAACGAGTGATTACCCAACCAATCAGCTTTTTGCTGTAGTAGTAGGACGACTTGCCGCCGATTAGAACATTCTTACGTAAGACTTCTTCTCTTCGCAGCCCAGAAACGGAATCTTATATGAATTTTGTCTCTTATGATTTGTCATGACCTATCAACCATTGCCACAGCACCCCAGTAAAGCAGCTCACTCTGACACGCTGAGCCCGCAGGAGTTCCGCTCTGACCAGCGTCCCGCCCGTGTTTCAGAACCTTTCTCTGGACTCGGTGTTCAACTGCAGCCAGCACCTGGAGGAGCTGGCGCACGAGCAGAACTTCGAGGTCACCTGGGTCGACATCGACGAACAGACTACAGAGGGTGAGCGTCCCGTGCCGCCGGCCGGGCGGGGCACCGGAGGGCAGAGGAATGACCCGACCTGACCTGGTCGTAGGGGTGTATGGAACCGATCAGGGGAATAACGCGACGGAGGGCAGGGGGATAACGCGACCTGACCTGGTCTTAGGGGTGTATAGAACCGATCCGAGTCCTGCCTCTGAATTTTTGTCCTGACCTGACCTAGTCACGGTGTTGTCCTAATCCAGACTTGACACGGCCGCAGAGCTACCTGACCTAACCTTTTTCCGCGGAAGTTGACCCGACCTGGTCCTGCTCCAAGAGATGTCCTGTTTTCAGACACGCACCTGCAGAGAACTACCGTGCGGCGAAGTCTCTCTGGTGATTGCATGACAGGGTAAGTATGGTGATTTCAATGCCGCATTTGAAATTTCCCGTGGCAATGCTCCGTTTACAAATAACTCGGAATGCCGTCATTTGTCATCCCCTTTCCTTACATTATGGACTCATATCCGGTCTCAGTTCTAGCGTATGAGGGACTTGCGGTCTCCCGTGATCAGCCTGTACTTCTCCTGCCTGATGCTGCAGCATTTAGATACGCCCAGCGACGTTACGACACAAGAATCTTCAGACGCTAATTCCCACGTTGCGGTAGTTACTCGACTCTCCCTAGTAGTTATCGCCACAGTGTCTGATGTTTTCAGGCCGCTACCAATCACCACTGTGTTTAACCCGTTCCCAGGCCGTCACCATCGTGTATCTGTCCCGTCCGCAGGCCGCCACCACTGTCTGTAGTGTCTTCCCGTCCGCAATCTGTCACCACCGGTATCTGTCCCGTCCGCAGGCCGCCACCACTGTGTATCTGTTCCGTCCGCAGGCCGCCACCACTGCCTGGTGCGGCTGTCCACTCGCCAGTGATCGCCACCACATCTGTATCTGTCCCGTCACCGCTGCGTGTTATCCGTCCACAGGCCGCCACCACTGCCTGGTGCAGCTGTCCACCCTACCGGTGGCCGTCTGTTACGGCACCGGAGACGATCCGTCCGGCGCCAAGTCGGACGCCGCCCACAACGCCCTCGAGTATCTCAAGATCATGGTGCAACAGTAGGCGACCTGGCCAGGTGCGACGCCGGGCAAGGCGCCCGCCCTATATCGTGAGTGGGGTGCGAACTTCGACCTGCTAGGGAGCAGGCGATTGGGTGTGTTTTGCGAGATAAATGACATTTTTCTGGACAGGGCGGCCATATTTCTTTTGTGGCCTGTGGTCGTTTTGGCGACGGGAAGGAATGCTTTCGTCGTCTTGCTGGATACTGAAGATGCGTTTGGCATATTCTTTTGCTCTTGCGACTGGTCTATTATTTTCACCGCATAGTGAAACTCGACTCGGGTAACCAGTGTTCAGCTTCCATTTTCAGTCAATAGCATTCAATTGACAGAAGCAGTTAGCACGAATGCGTTCTTTTTTTTTGTGAATTTTGGGTCTCATCTGACATTGCTTACCAGGTGGGCTCGCGTTTTCCGCCAGCTGTTATCGAGTGTAGAAGTGTAGGCCGCGCGGCCGTGTCCGTATCTCCGTGTCTGTCTGTCTGTGTGTAGCCTCCCCGCTCCGCGGCCGGCGCCGACGGCGGCCCTGGCGGACCGGCGCCGGCGCCCGCCGCGAAGCCCGCCTGTGTCCGGCGCTGGGCGGACCCCGGGCGCGCGTGCGCGAGCTGCCGCCACCGCGCGCGCGCCCTCCCTGTGATTCAGCGGCGGCACGTGCGGCGCGCCACCGCCGGCCGCGCGTGCCGCCGCTGCTGCGGCCGCCAGGGCGCGGCGCCACCAGGACCCCGTTTCAGCGCATGACGCTACCTGACGCCACCAGATATTCGCGCTCGGTATCTACGGAAACGTAAGTAAAATTGACAATTATGTTAGCGTTTCCATGGAAACCGAGCGCCAATATCTGGTAGCGTCAATAGCGGCGTGCCGTGATACAGGGCCCGGAGAGGACGGGACGCCGCGCCCCGGCCGCCCACCAATGCCAGCCGCTCTGGCCGCCCGTCTACCATTGGTAGGACGCGAGTATCGGTGTGTGATGGGGTAGTATCGCGACCCCTCTGTGCACGCCACTGGTCTCTTTAATATACGAGTCGAGTGCAGCGAGCACTGTCTGACTAGCAGCGAAGACAACTATCGAAGAGTGGGGTATCGGGGCTTGGTGTGATGCAGAGGCCAATTGCGTCAGATAGTAACAGGATCAAAGTACGTGGAGCTGACAGCCAATTACCGATACCCGAGGCGATCTCGACTCTCGATAAGCTACAATATAGAGAGGTATTCATTTGATTAGCATGTTTTCCGACACTGTCGCCAGGCATGGAGCGCCGCGCATCTCTAGACCAGCCAAACAATGCGGCATAGCCCGACATCTGCCTGCGAACAGGCAAATATGCGAAATATGCTCCACTAGCAACATTGCACGTAAAACACCTTGGTGATATCAAAACAACCCATATAGGCACAACCTTGGTCTAAAATAAACAGCGGCCCACCGCGAGCCAATCTCAGGAAGGCGCGAGCACGGTCCACCGACACAGCGCAGCGACCGCTTCACACGTACCCTGTGGCCTGTCACACCTCTCATTGGGACAGCCAACGCCCTACCCATCTAGCACATTGAGCGAGACAGCAGCAGCGGGAGCTATCGGCGGTAGCAATGACTGGGTAAAACAGAGAGCGTGGTTATATTGAGGCGACACCGGCCCGCGGCCATGGGCACGGCGAGGCTTTAGATCACAGTCATCCCGAGAGTTGGTCCGGCAGACGCTATGGAGATTTTAGCTTGCGGGCCAGGCAGCATATCCTGGCATATAGAGAGCTAATTGCGAGTTTGTTACCCTTTCCTCAAGGGTATGTCGAGGAGTTGAACGGTCTTATTCAAGGCTACGCTGAGGGAGCCTCGCTTTTGCCTCGGTTCAGAAGGCATACTTCTTATCACACTTTTGAGTCGTGCCACTCCTCACCAATGTAAACACATCGAGCATCCCCGACCGCCCCGTGGAGCGCAGAGAGCCACATATAACACCGACAGACCAAGACCATGCTATGCCCGGCACAGACCGCCCGAGCCGCGGCACCGGCGGGTGTCACGCCGCCGTGCCGGTCCCGGCGGTGGCGGCGCGGTGCTGTCGGACGCAGGCGGTGGAGCACAGCAGCCGGCCGCTGTACTCGAACGGTACCCGGCCCGTGATGTCCTCCCCGCAGTGGCAGCAGCGCACCAGCGCGCGGCCGGACTGCTGGGCGGCCATACGCCGCTCGGCCGCCAGCGCCCTCTGACGGAAACGGGCAGGGGGCGGCGATCATGAGTACCTACAGTCGCACCTTTGACGTTACTACTCCCAGTCATCAAAATTACTGTAGTGGGCGCGTGAATGAGGCGGCAATGCCGACCTAGAAGAAAGCTAAGACACATGATTAACACAATGACAACAAAGGCTTACATTTTCACAAATCGATTTTATCAATTTGCTTACAGCCTGCTGAGCTGCAAGTTAATTAACTTACCTTTTCCCTGTCAGAAAGTTGTAGGAATCTCCGTTTTTCCTCTTCTTCCTTTTCTTTCTCTTTCCTAGCGGCCCCCTCGATCAGTTGCTGTGCTTTCTTTTCTTTCATCTTTTCCTTTCGCTTCTGGTTTTGTAGCTTCTTTTTCTCCGCGTCTCGTTGTTTCTTTTCCGCCTCCATTTCCTCGGTCAATGGAGCAGGTATGTGAGCCTGAGAGAAAGCACAACCATCAGCCAATACGGTAGTGGAACGCACCACAAAGCCCAAGATGCAACAACCTGCCGTCTGTCGTCAGCTCTCCATTACCATCAGATAGCGTAAACGGGCTCGGGTCGCGTCACCGTGCGCCGGTCTATCCCTAACACCCCACCTTGGCGTAGTTGTGTTTGTCCGGGTGCGCTGCCCGGTACCGCCGGAACTGGTTGCGGGTCTCCCGCGTGGACGACACGTCGTAAGGTGTCTGTCCGGCGCCGTCCCGCAGCGTCGGGTCGGCCCCCACCTCCAGTAGGCGGCTGTTGGTCAGAAACACGTTAAACACTTCACAGGTGTTAGGTCGCACGGATCAGATGTGCAGCATAAGACAGATATAACACGGCTTTGCATGTCGTAAGTCAGATCTGACCCGAAAATGAACATCACACCACAATTATCTCGTGACGTGCTTCCGTTTTCCACCGGGTCGACGCTCCAAACACTCAAACGTTTTTTATGCGCAGAGTCATGTGTAACAGCGCAGTTCTGAACTGCATGTCCCGACCCCACAGCAGCAGCTGACCTGACGAGCGCGCTGTGTCCGGCCCGGGCGGCGGCGTGCAGCAGAGTCTGAGAGGTCTGTCCGAACGAGCGGCTCAGCAGGCTGGGCAGCGGCACCAGAGGCTCAGTCAGCAGCGCATCCAGACCTGCCGTGTCACCGGTCTTACACAGCGTGTAACACTGCACCCGGAACTCCTCTGCGCCGGCTGGAAACAAAGAGATGACTTTAGACGGGGATTATTGTCTAGGTCAATTCTATGGAGGCAGTTAATCAGCACACCCCGGACTTTTCATAGATTATTCGAGCACGACGTTGCGTCCCAATTCCCTCGGTTGTCAACAGACAAAGCAACACTGCAAGCAAAGCAACACAATAACCCGCGCCCCACTGGGGTCTGCGTATAACACGCCCTACTGGGGGGGGGCTATTCATAGCCCCCCCTCCTAACTCCGAAACTACTGGGCCGATCGTCAAAATTCAAACGGCGTCTGATAGCCCCGGAAAAACTGTCGAGCGAAACCTAATTTCATTGACCTCGAGGTCACCGATGACGTCACAGGTCAGGTCAAAGTAAAAATTATTAGCATTTTGGCTTGTTCACGTTTTGGGCTCTGGCCGCCGTATTACAAGTCAGATCAGGCTCATTTTTGGTTCACACACTCGTGAACAGATGTTCTAGATACCCTGAGGGTACCAAACTTGTGCTTTGATTTTCAGGTCAAGGTCAGGTCATCACAGGTCACGAAAATATTATATCATGCCTCGGTCACGTGACACATGTTTTATGGTCCATTTAGGCCAAAGATTTCGAATTTGATGTCGTCTGTGTCATTCGAGGTCATTTTGAGTCGAATTTAGCCTAGGGTCAGGTCACTTTCAGGTCAAAAAAGGTCAAATTTTGAAGGTAAAATTTTTCAACAAAAAAGGTGTCTATTGGATGCAGTTTGAGCTCAGGAACACGATGATGCTATTTATATTGGCGTACGATGTCAAATACGTGCTGAAAAATTGATTTGAAAAATTAATAATTGTGAATTTTTTGCAATAATGCGTATAACTTGGTCATTTTTGAAGATATTTAGCTAAAACTTGCTAGAGTTAGTCATAATAACGCGTTCTATCACATATATTCCGGTTTTTTCGAAAAGTCAAAAACTTTTTGAAAAAAATGTAAAAATGTAAATTTTGAATTTCATTATATGAAATTTTCAAAATTTTCAAAATTTCAAAAATCCGAGATAGCAGTTTGATAGCGCAGTCTATTCGGAGTCCTCTCATGCAAAGAAATTGGATCTAGCTCAAAAACTGAGCCCTTGGGAACGATTGCCGTGGTTCAATGTTTTGCGTCGAAATCGGCCGAACATGACGTCACTCTGACGTCATTTCCGGCCGACCTATGGTAGCTACGAAGTTCAAATTTTGACACAAGGTGTCAAATTGATGCAGCCGAAGGTACTGAAAGTTTGGCGTCGATACGTCAAGCGGTTTGGAAGTTATTGCAGAAAAACGGGAGGGGGGGCTATAAATAGCCCCCCCCCAGTGGGGCGCGGGATAAGCAATGAGCAGTCTTTCTGGCGCAACACTGCACCATCCATACTTTTATACCCGATGAACAGATTATATCTCATGACTGGAAAGGTTCGGTCGAAGACGACTCACCCGGTTCCGGCGGCTCCTGCGGCACCTCAGTCGTGTTCGCCGCCGCCACCTTCTGTCCTCCATCGTCCACCGGCTTCTTCGCCTCCTCCCCGGCGTCCGCGGCGCGCTGCTCCTCCCTCAGCCGCCGGCGGAACTCCCTCCGTCTCCGCCGCTCCTCCACGGCCGTCACCACGCGGTCGTCCAGCGGCCGGGACGAGTCGAAACCCTCCTCGGGCGAGAACGACGACAGGTCGGTGAGCCCGCGCATCTGGCGCACCTCGTACTCAGCGGACTCCGAGTCGGACCCCTCGGAGTCTGTCACCGACAGGGAGCGCTCCAGGTCCTGTTGCCGCTCGCTGTTTCGCCGGTCGCGCGCGGTAATTCGCCGGCCGGGCGGAGGAGCGGTGGGTGGGTCGGTCCGCTCGGCTGGGGGTCGCTCCGGCCGTGGGGAGCGGCGTGGGGTACGGGCCGGCGTCTCCGGTTTGGGAGGAGACTGAGGCACCTGACTGAGGTTCACGTCCACGTCCGTACCTGGGGATGAACGACAGACCGGTGGAGGTGTCAGACAGGGCGAGAGCTGAGTCGAGTAACCATACACAACCTGGCATTTCGGCGTTGATAAACTGAATTTCGCTCCCAAACCGAGACAACCACAAGGAACAAATAAAAACAGTGCTGAATGCACAGTTGTGCCAATTGCTGCCTAACTATTGCTAAAGAAACTACTAAAAGTCGATGAGCATCGGTGCAAACATGCATAGTAGTAAAAATTATTGGTGTTTTACGACTAATGACTATATTTACCATTACAGTTCCAAAGCGGTTCCAGCGCCCGTCTCTCACCGTAGACATGGACACAGGTGAGCGCCTGGTAGACCCGCTCCAGCTCGGCGAACGTCGGCCGTCGGGTCGGGAACGGTACGCTGCGGATGCGCGGGTCGCGCCGGTTGAGCGGGGGCGCCTTTCCGCCGTACAGTGCCGCCGCGCCGCTGCCCAGGGCGCGCACAAACAGCAGCGAGCAGCGCGACACCTCCTCCTCCCAGGAGGCCAGCAGCTCCTGAATGTGCTGGAGACGAGAGGGGAGAGGAGGTCAATGGGACGTTACACTAAGAAAGGCCATACTAGACAGTAGACAGGATTACCGTATGACTCGCGGGAGGACCAATGAATGCCCTCAATCCTCATGTCATGCTCTTCTGATGTCAGATGCCAGGCTCCCCCGTTACCTGCACGAGCGATGCCTCGTTGTACCGTCGCAGGCTGGCGCCGGCCGAGCGGGGCTGCTTGGTGGCCGAGCGGGCGTCCCGACTGGCCTGTCCGCCGCCCTGTTTGGCTCGGACCGTGTACGAGTGGAACGTCTTGTGCAGCACGGCCTTACCGCCTGGAGACGCGGAACGACAATTAATGGCCCGCGATTGATAAGGCGACACATGCAATAGCTTGAATCGAGACGGATCATCCCAGGGAAGGATTTATAATTGTCATAAAAACGGAATATTTCCAGCCATCACAGTTGCGTCAGGCCAGTCAATAATATGGCAGGAAGACATCCTAGAATGGATGGTGCCAGGTTCCTCCCTCCCCACGTTCATCAGTTAGATCACAGTGCCGATCTCTGACGACAGAAGTCCGCTCTCCGCCACTCCCGGACTCTGGTACAGCTCCGGCGGCGCACGTACCGCTGAACACGGCGGCGGCAAAGTGTCCGCCGGAGAGGAGGAACACTCCGACTCGGAGTCCGCGCGCCAGCTGCTTCACGGCCAGCTCCACCTGGGTGTCGCCGGCCGGCGCCTGACCCAAAGGGGAGAGGGGTGGTTAGTAACTGGTTAGGTACACAGCTGAGGAGAACAAAAAGGAGTAGATATTGGATACATCTGCGGGCAGACAACGACTGGACGCTAGCGTTCGGAGGGACAGGGCCCGAGAATCTGTCGAATAGAGAACAGACCATTGTCTTCGCCGATATTGGACACTGTATGTGTGATTAACGAGAAACAGAAGATCCGGCAGCATCTTTTCTTACATTCAGTCTATCAGTTTTCCTGTGATATACTCGTTTTACTAGTATAACGTATCTCAACTAGTTCTAGCCTTCTTCAGTTCGTCAGTTCTCTGTTGACATATCCGCTTTACCAATACAGCGTTATGGGCGCAAAATGACCACCGCAGTCGACGTGCCCGTAAACCCCGATAAATAATAATAAAGAAACAGAAGACAAACGGCAGATAGCGCCTTAGGTATACCGAAAAACAAAAATTCATTTGGAATTCCGAAAATTGCCGTCTTTGTTAAAAGTCTTATTCTATCGTTCAAAAATTATCATATAAATGTGTGGAACATGAACAACCACCAAATGACACACACGACCGTCTGAAAGCTAATCCGGTAAAAAATACATCACGTTCGTCGGACACCGTCTCGGCCTGTCTCACCCATTTGGACATGATGAGGCACTTGTAGAGGCAGAACATCTGTCGGTCGGCGTTCACCAGGAACAGCTTGGTGTGCCGCCTCAGCTGGTTCCTCTGCAGCTCCCTGTCGCCGTCGGCACGCCGCCGCCGACGCCGAGCCGGGGTGTCCTCTGGGGGGGGGGGAGGGGGGGGGGGGAGTCACAGGTGGCTCCGGGCCGTGGGAGGGAGGTTAATGGCGTTATCGGCCGCGAGCTGTGCCGATAACGGTCGTTCCTAAGTTAAGTCATGCTACGGCTCAGCTCGCCCGGTCTTTATGGACACATGCAGGCTGCCGATCCCCGGAGTAGGACAGAAATGTAGCATGTCACTCGCTGGCCACTAGCCCTAGCATTTGTTCTTCATTCGTACGCTCATTAATTCGGTACGCGGTCTCTTATAGCTCAGTAAAAACACGAACGAGCCATCTGCCCCGGTGTACGCTCACCTGAGGCTGACGCGCTGGTCGATCCTTCCTCCCGCTCAGACAGGGTGTCCTCATCAGAGTCCTCCTCTGAATCGCTTCCCGACAGGCTGAGGACGTCATCTGACGAAGAAAGTCATCCGTCAGAGCCGGTAAATGAGCAAACACCACACACAGAACACCCATATGCCTGGCAGAATACCAAAAACGGAAAGCCCGCAACGTCCACTATGAATCGTCGTCGTCGTCGTTAGAACATGTTACCTTCCAGTATTTCTCTCACTATTCATCATTTCGTTTCAGTCGCCATAGTAAGATATCAGACCAAATTCGCCGGCAAGGCGACTGTCCCCGATGTCGATCAGCCCCCATATCGCAGTCTATCGTACCCGTACGGTCAATGTCTATCGGCCCCCGTACCGTCAATGTCGAGCCGGTCGAACTGTCGCTCGGTGAGCGCCGTCTGCCCACCGGCACTCCGCTTCACGTTGTACTTGTGGAAGTCGGACTTGTAGTGGCCCACCTGCTCCGGGCGGTCCGAGAACCCGACGCCGCAGTGGGAGCAGGTCATGACCTCCGAGACCACCAGAGGGTCGCGCGGAACTGACGGCAAAAGTCGTCACAAATTAACAACCTTGTGCAAAACTAGACAGCAGGGCGGAAGTTAATAAATTTTGGCATCAGGAGCATTCATGATGCATAATATGAGCCATTATTTTCAACAAATATTATCTTACTACTAGCATGATGTAATGAAACAGCAATGCTTCAATGAAATGTAGTGTCATGTCAATGATGCAGAGCACATTGAGGCCTGAATTTGACTTTGGCACCCCAGCCACACTCCTATAACCATGTGAACCTGCATCTCCAAGCACCACTCACCATTGTCCAGCTCAGCAGACTCATCCTCCTCCTCTATGGACACGCTGAGCCGTGAGCAGTCCGCTATTTTCAACCCCTTGAACAGCTCCCTGATTCGATCCTCTTGATGGAGGAACATTGTGATTGGTTTGGATGATTCTGCTGTTGACTTCCCTGGACCTTTTACAGCAGTCTGTCCATTGCTCTTCTTTGATTCAGTGTTGTCAGCCATGCTCTTACAAAGTGCTCCTTGTAGTTTGGGCGCACACAACGTTCCTGTAAAAATATGAACTTTGATAAGGTGAAGGCATGAAAAGACAAATATGCACGATTGCTATAAAAGTGACACACTTCTTCTTAGGCAACATGGTGACTATAAATATAGGCAGCACTATTCTCATATTTTGAAAATTTCTGGAGAAATTGATGAGGTAAAAGCTTTTTAATGACCTAAATCAAAAGCAGGACAGTATAGGTACTTGATAATTTTGCAATTCTCCTTGTTTTAAATATCAAATTGAAATGCCAGAAGAACTAAAACTGTATGTGAGTCATTCCATATGTTTGCTCTGAGATCCATAAGAAAAAATAGTATCAGTTTGATAAGACAGACACACTTGACATTTCAATTAAAACAGGGTCACTACCCTTTCATTAGTAATATAGATGTACAGTGGCATCTTGTCTACCACTCACCTCATCAAGCCATATTTAACTTGATACAAACACACGTCACAATCCACAGTATCAAATCAATGAATAATGAATCCCCACCTCAACCTAGCCACCAACGCCAATGCCAGCACTGTAAGTGGCCAGCAGGAACAGTTTGATCGTGCAAGCTTTGATGTGCAACTGACAGAACCAGCTGTCATGTATGAAATGGAAGCAGCTCAAGTTTTCCTCAACATCCTAGCATCAGTATGCCTTATTTGATCGTTCGAGGCTGACTTTTTTCAGAAGCAACCAGTCCACTCCAACTCAAGGTCAACACGATCCAAGCACGGAACTGGAACTGATGGTAGACGAAGGCTAGCTGCTAATGCTTGATTGCCTAGATCATTCGACGGGGGAAAATGGTGAGTATTGCACAGATCGTTACACGCTGATATTGATGTAGCCGGATAAAAAGACAATTAACCCATCTGTTTCCACCCAGCACGTGGAATGAGGCGACTATTTAGTGGCCACAACTTTCGTCATCGCCAGATTGTCACTAGCGCGCAAGTCAAGCGACATATGGCAGCAAAAATATCCCGGCGGGATTTAAATTTTCCTTCACCATCTGAAAAGGTGTGTAGGCACAACACGCGAAGGTCTGAAGTCCGTGATACGCAACAATATAAGCTAGCCACAAACACCTATCCATCAAATCTCAGTCGTTAACCATCCTTTCCAATCTCCATGACCTGATGATCAACTTTGTCCGCCGGCGCCGTCCACCCCCTCAGGCCTATAGGTACATATATAACCCTTTCCGGCCCCTCCGCGGGTAGAGACGTAACCAGGTCAAGGCCCGGACGCTCGGACAAGGTAAAACGGCCCGCAGACTCCTGATGTGCTGGCCCTTCTACGGTCTTCCGCCGCTGCGGCTGGGTGTATAGGTAAACTGTAAATCCCCTGACGTGGGTGTAACCCCACTGAGTTCAGTTCCCAGCTCCGGACAGGCCCCACCTCCTCTTGGATCCCCTCACACTCTCTCCCATCAGCCCTTCTTCATAAATTGTGGTGACTGGTGTGTACCGGCGACAGCCGACAGCGATATCTGTCTTTTTATCATGCAGCAATGAAGGTCATTGCCCGACAGGGACGGATGGACGACAGAGACTATGAGCCCGCCAGACGGCACGCGTCTGTGTCAACCAAGCTGGAGACTATACGCATTAGAGCTGCCGGGTCAATGCAGCCCGCAGGACGGTACAGTCAGATCCTGAGAGGAAGTGTCAAAGGAGCGATTAGGTATTTCCAAATCACGCACCCGACACCATCGAGCCGCGTTAGCCAACCGGTCAGCGGCGGTCGGCGAGGTGCCGGTCCGCGGGGGGCCTGCCGGCCGCAGGACCGACCTGACCCGCTCCACTCCGGGATCATTGACACGAGCCTCTGCGGCACGACGGCCATCGATAGCCGATGGAACGCAGTCGATCAACAGATTAGACTTGGTAAGCAGCTTATGCTGCAGCCGGTCGTCATCACAGCGGAGGCAAACCGGTGGGACGGGCCGCCTCCCCGGCCGGCCAGGCTGCTGAGCGGACGGACGGACGGGCGCCACTCGCGGCCCGAGCTCAGAGATCGAGGTGTCGCGCACTGCCGTCTCCCCTGCCGCCGTCACGTGCCATGTGGTCTCCGAGGGAGGTGCGAGCCGGCCCGCCGCCGCTGGTGCTGCTCCTTCTGCTGCAGGTGGGTCCGACCGGCCGATGCTTGTCGTGTACCGTTTAATCGGAATGGGTAAAACGGCGGAGGAGTGCCGATTTCTGACATGATGACGAGCTGTGACATATTGTCTGACACCGTGAAAGGGTCATAATTTGATACTGACCACCCCGCTGTGTCGAAACGGTATACGCCGTTTTGACGCAAAACATTGCCGAGCGGCCGGGAAGGGACGATGGACGTTAGTTTCCCAAACCTGATCGGTAACATGCCCATATGGATCGGCAGGCGCACAGCACCCCTGACATGCCCCGTTTGCCCGCAGTCGGCGACTCTGGGCACCTGCCAGCGGTACCGGCCGCTGGTGCCTCCCAGCGTGTCTCTGGGACTCGGCTCCGCCTCCGGACCCGTCCCCACACAGGGTCTGGGCGCGGCGCCGGGTCCTGTCACTGCCCCGCTCTCAGAGACGGTGGAGCGAGGCACGGAGTCGGCCAAAATCCAGACCAACGACCCACTGTGCGGCCTGGAGCCGCGGCGGAAGCGACAGGCGGGGCCGGCGGGAGGAGAGCCCAGCCCGCAGCCTCCGCTCCGGATCGTCGGAGGACTCACCGCCGAAGTCGGACGCTTCCCCTGGCTGGTGAGTCATGAGTGAAACCAAAGCCGGGGGAGAACTGATACACCGGCTATAGGAGTGTTAATCGGAAAGGCAATTACACCCAGGGCACTAAAGAGTCACCACCCTCACCCATTGATGAGGATAAAATGACTTAGGGCCAGTTGCATCTGCCGTGCTGTTAGGAGACGAGTATCATACGACATACCGACACGAGCATAATAAAACTCCAGCTTCTATCGTCCGTCGTGATTCATTGCTTCTGTAGTAAACCACCCGTTGAATCTTTGTCCCTCAGGTGGGCGTGACCAATTTCTTCAGCACGGTGCCGTTCTGCGGCGGTGCCATCATCAACGAGCGCTTCGTCGTCACAGCCGCCCACTGCCTGCGAGGGTAACGTCCGAAGACCGAATACCCCTCTGTACCTCCCCTAGGGCCGTCCACTGCCTGCGAGGGTAACGTCCCAACTCCCGCTGCCCTGATCCTGCACTGCCCTAGCTCCCCCTCCCACCGTAGCTAGATACTGCGTGAGAGAGTAACTTCCAAAGTCTCATCAGTTGCTACTCCCCCTTCCAGCCCCACGCCCCCCAATGTATTGAATTTGATGTTACACTTGATCGCAAGGTCCGAATACCGAACACGCACCGTCCCCAGCCAACATGTCGATCCCAGGACAATGAAGATGTCTCCGAGGATAACGCTGACACCTCGTCTATGCATTCCCTCAATGCACAATGTTATACGGACGTCGGACACGGACGCGGGACCCCTGGTCCGTGGGTTCGTTTCTTCCATGTAAGCCCCCTTTTATATCACGCTGACACGCAGACCGTTTTCAGCCGGTCTCCAATTACGCTGGCCGTGCTCGTCAACAAACACCTGAGGAAGGAGGACGAGCGACAGATCAAGTTCGGCATCGAGAAGATCATCCGACACCCCGAGTACAGCCGAGAGACGCTCACCGACGACCTGGCTCTCCTCAAGTAAGATATTTGGTCTTTGTTGGATTCGAGGGCACACAGCCGATTTCCGTTTTTTTTTCGGACAGTTTCACCTAACAAGTCTCGTAACACCTACCGCTCTTTATCATCACGAATGTCAAAAAGAAAACGTTAAACCGTTAAAACGTTGTAGTCCTAAAGCACGTCAGTACATACATACATAACTATCATAAACGATTTACCTACAGGTCGCCCGAATAAAACAGAATAAGATTCGATAAGGTCTAGTCCGTATTCTGAACGTAACATTAGGTAGGATACTGAAAAGTGAAACTGAAAACGACACATAAATTACATATCGCTTGTTTGTCGAAGAATCGCAACGGCAGCACCATGCGAGATAAGCGAAAGTTATTTTTGGGTTAATTGGGATTTATGCCGTTTGAAGATTAATTCGTCAGCGCCATTTATAAACAGAGCTTACATCATTGCCATTTGCCACAATACCGTTACGGTCCCATCTCAACAGACAGCGCATCCCGTTTTACTCATGACTCATCGTTCGATCAAGGTAAAGGCAATAGTAAAAAAGCTATTTGACAACGGTATGAGCCTTGAGGGCGTGGGAAATATATGGCACAGCAAACAAGATAAAGAATAATTAATGACGGAACTTTGTCAGCTTCTCGAGATAATTCGGTTCAAATTTGATATATTGGCATCGTCTTCTGGAGTGTAAATTAATATTTGTCGTACCTAAAAAAAAAATATGAACAAAGATCGTAGTAGAAACAAATCATAAACGATAAAACCAAACGGCATCCTATGTAACTGCGAGCGACGAGTGGGAATGGAATGGGCCGGGCGACTGACTCTCCCTGCTCTCCAGGCTGAAGGACAGGAAGGGCCAGCTGCACGAGCTGCTGGCGAGCGGCACCGTCCGGCCCATCTGTCTGCCTGAGGAGCCGTGCGAGGGCACCGGCCGGCCGGCCTGCCTGCTGGAGCGAGCCGTCACCATCGCCGGCTGGGGCTCGCTGGCCGAGGAGGGCGCCAAGCCCACCGCCCTGCAGTTCGCCACCGTGGAGGTGCTGCCCAACGTGGTCTGCCGCGACGCCTACCGCCGGATCAACATCACCGTCAACGACCACATGCTGTGCGCAGGCCAGCGCGACGGCGGCAGGGACACCTGCCAGGTGGGTCCTGCCGGCCTCAGAATATCCAGTCCTATGCCCTTATGTGGATCCGACAGATCCTTTACGAGTCTCATATACGCCGGGGATGATTGGCGGCGATGACGGCCAACGACAGGGAACACTTGTTTCTGCCGACTACCAAAGCGCTAAGTTAAATCAGTCGGAATTATGCTCTTTGAAGTCTGAGTTTCTATTCGAGTTGCATGGCACCGATGCGAGAGATATGGTTGACCTTTGCTCCATCCTTTGCCAGGGTGACAGCGGCGGTCCGATGATGCTGGAGATTGACGGCAAGATCACCCTGGGAGGCATCGTCAGCTTCGGCAAGGGCTGCGCGTCACCCGACTACCCCGGGGTCTACGTTCGAGTCTCAGGTACGCTGGGGAGACGGACATTTAGGAAGGGCGCCTTATACGGGTCTACCTTCGGTATAAAGACGGGTCTACCGAGTAAGCGTTTTCCGCCTGTGGACGTTTTCGTTTGCCTAACAAATAAGCACAGCTTCGGTACGTGCCTTTTAGAGCAGCTTTGAGATTGTCATCGACAGTGACTGGCATTCTCCAACACGTTTCAGAATTTACCGAATGGATCATCAACAACAGCCGCGTCTGAAGTCGTCAGCCCCGAGAGAGGCGGACAAAAGGATGTCTGTTCGGCATACGACGGAAGCCCCAACGTGCCACTTTATGCATCTACGACCGATCATTCGCATTCCATTTAATATTGGATCTGACCCAGAAGACCATGAACGCTCGCGTTTTTGCGATCGATATCGAAATAAATGTAAAACTGAAACGACTCCCGAAAAAGTAAAACAACGACACGAGCCGCCTATGACGGCTCCCGACAAAACAATTACCGAACATATGTGGAGTAGGTAGAAATAACAGAAAACGTGTCTCACAGCAAATACTATCGGCAGTTCGTACATAGATTTCACAGTGCCGAACAGGAGACCACTATCAACCCACCTGAAGTTGGTGCAATAGGTTGCTCTACTTTCAGACGCATTGCTTCCCGTACGAGTAGTTCCTCGATGGGAGAGCGACTGGGCACTGAACAGGAGAGCGGAACACCAGCGGACCACCGCCGTGTGCTCCCGGGGAGCCGCCAAAGACACCGAGCCCACCACCGCTGACCGACCTCGCGACGGCGCGGGGGTTGACTATGGCACCGGCCGGTGACCGGTCTCCGTGCTGACCGATGACGTCACCGATCTGACGTCATGGCGTGGCTCCGGCCGGAGTTGCACCACCTGACGGACGGCAGACAGAGACTGCTGGCGGTCACAGGGCAGGGACTGATAACATGCAGACAGGTGCCGAGCCCCCAGGGTGGAGAATGAGATGCGTTCAGGGAATGGAACGCTGTGTTACACGCGTATCGGGGATAACCGAAGGCGATATACCTGTATACCTACATCCACACAGTATACCTACTCAGGACGGTTTGAGGTCTAACACCGATTAGGTAACTGTCCTACCCAGTCAGTCCTGCCTGACATACCATATGGTGTATTCACTGGTAACTTTATCATAAAATGCATATTATATATTATATATGTATTGTATTGTTAAAATGCCAAAATCAAAGGGGGCACGGTGCCCCGGTGCCCTCCCCGTTTCGCCGCCTATGGCCCAGCCGCCCAGGCGACCAGTAGCTCGGATGCGGTGAGCCCTCACCACAACCCGAGTGTGGTTGGGGTTGGGTGGGGGGCAAGGGTGGGGGTGAGGGATGCACTCGGCCCGAGCTGTAGCGAGGGTAATGGACTAAAGATGCTCGTTCACCGAAATCCGCATCAAAACTACAGGGGTCGTATTCACGTCGGCTTCGTAAGTCGATTTTCTTTCGTAAGTATAATTTGGTATTCACGTCGACACTTCTTAACCCGCGCCCCGTAGGGCTCGGCGGACCCTACCACACGTAGGGGAGGGGCCGTTTCGGCCCCCCCCCCTATGATCTCGGAAATTTACCGGCCGATTTTCAAAATTCAAACGGCGTTCGATAGCCCCACCGGAGAACTACCTTGTGACCAAATTTCATTGACCTAGGTCAAACCGATGACGTCACAGGTCAGGTCAAAGGTCGGATTTTCACCGTTCACAGGCATTTCAAGAAATGTTTTGTGAAATCGAGTAAATTGGCAATTTATTGAAAACCATCGATGGTACATTGTTCGTCAAACACATACCTTGCTATCTGAGGTCACTGATACCAGGTCAGGTCACAGCGAGGTCAGGTCACCGGGGGTCACAATATGAAAGTGTGGTGTGATGCATGTTTTATGGTCCATTTTACATGACAAATGCGATTATGTGGGTTAGGCAGCCTTTGGGGCCAGCCTGGGTCACATTTTGGTGAAGGTCAGGTCAAGGTCAGGTCAAATTAGGTCAAATTTCAAAGTTGATATTTTTGCATAAAATGGGTATTGATTCGATGCAGCTCGTCACGGGGAGTCTAACGGTGGTCTTTGTTCTGCTCTACGAGGTCTAGAATTGCCAAAAATTGAGTTTGAAAATTTGACGTCATCATTTTTGAACAGTTTTCGCTATAACTTGGCCAAAAAACGAGGTATCGATATGAAATTTGGTATGTAGATAGAAGACGGTAGGTTTTATCACATATATTCCGGTTTTTTCGAAACTCAAAAAACTTTTTTGATTTTTCGTCTAATATATCCCAAAAAATGCTTTTTTGATTTTTGGGGATCAAAACTCAAAAATCTCAAAAATCCGAGATAGCAGTTTTGTAGCCCTGTGAATTCTACACCTTTTATGTCTTGATCATTTTTCTGTATCTTCAAAGCTGTAGGCCTGACAGGTCTTCTCGCAAAGGTCTTTTTTCGGTCGAAAATGACAGAACATGACGTCATTCTGACGTCATTTGTGGCCGACCTATCATAGCCTTTGGATTTTTTTGTCACAATGTGTAAAATTGATGCCCGGAGGGGTTCTGAAAGTTTGGTGGCGATATCTCCAGCCGTTTAGGAGATATCGACGGAAAAGGACAGGGAGGGGCCGTTTCGGCCCCCCCCCCCCCTACGGGGCGCGGGTTAAATTTTTATCGACGGAGTTCACGTGATTAAAAAGAATTGCTTAGTTAAGAAGTAGGTCATCCGTAAGAAAATTCTTACGAAAATGATCGACGTGAATAGTACGGCCCCAGTTCGCCTGGGCCCTTATCTTGAGACCAAAACTACCTACCTGACGCTATAGTTGACATAGGCGGCGGAACGGGAGGGCACCGGGGCACCGTCCCCCGTAGATTTTGACATTTTAACAATAGCCCTATGGACGATGCATGGAAAGAATGGGACCAAAGTCGGCAGTGCCCCCCCCCCCCCTTTAATTGAAGGTGTTCGGGGTAGATATATAGGCATATAGGTATAGATATACCGTATATTGGTATATATGTATAGGGCCTTGGGTGTTCCGCCGCTACTGATAGTTTAGCTAAGCCAAGCTAATGCATACCTACTGCTGCTACCAGAATCCAGAGGTTGTAAGTAGAAAGTAGAAACCAAGCAGAAACATCAAACAACCAAGGCCATCTAAAAACTATAAGGAAACAACCACTTTGACTTACCTATACCATCTTTAGCTGGTATTGCTGTAGCCTTGCCTTGATAATAGATATCAAATTCAATATACTTTTATTCATATACCTTTACCGCCCAGAAGATACTGATACCTACGCACCCCCCCCCCCCACCAAGTAAAAAACAAACAAACAATGGCCTTTCCTGCATAGGTAGGTACTCAGATATAGCCGTATATATGATATAGCCAATTGGTACTCAGGGTATCCATTTCCTGCATGCACATGAGTCATGACTAACGACCTCAATCTTGACACTGACTTGTTATATAAAATACTTGGTTGATATCAGTCAGGTATATTTATACGGCAGTGGCGTATCCAAGGGGGGACCCTGGGGGTCCTAGGGTCCCCCCTGGAGCAAAAAAAATTTTTTTTTTTTACTCGAAAAAAATTGAAAACACTTTGAGGGCCCTTTTCACCACTTACATTTTTTTTACATAATGAAAAGTATCAATTACATTTCTAGGGACCCTTTTAGGACTATCAGAGGACCCCTTTAGGCCAACGAGGGACCTTGTAGAGTAAATTAAGGGCCCTTTACAACGAACAGGACCTTCTCAGGCACACAGAGGGCCCTCTCAGACACACAGAGGGCCCTCTCAGGCACTCAGAGGGCCCTCTCAGGCACTCAGAGGGCCCTCTCAGACACACAGAGGGCCCTCTCAGGCACTCAGAGGGCCCTCTCAGGCACTCAGAGGGCCCTCTCAGGCACTCAGAGGGCCCTCTCAAGCACTCAGAGGGCCCTCTCAGGCCCGAGGGCCCTCTCAGACATCTTGAAGAGGTCGAAAAGAGCCCTCTGAGCTCAAAGAGGGCCCTCTGAGATCAAAAAGGGCCCTCGGAGGCAACAGAGGGCCCTACAATGCAACAATAGAGCCCCCTGTGGTCACCAAAGGGCCCTCTGAGGCGAATAGGGGTCCTTTTAGGCAAACAGAGGGCCCTTTGAGGCAAACAGAGGGCCCTCTAAAGTGGCGAATAAAGGGACCCTCTGAGACGAACGGGGGCCAGAGCCCAGAGAGCCCTCTCAGGCACTCAGAGGGCCCTCTCAGACACTCAGAGGGCCCTCCCAAGCACTCAGGGCCCTCTCAGGCACTCAGAGGGCCCTCTCAGGCACTCAGAGGGCCCTCTCAAGCACTCAGAGGGCCCTCTCAGACATCTCGAATAGGTCGAAAAGAGCCCTCTGAGGTCAAAGAGGGTCCTCTGAGATAAAAAGGGCCCTCGGAGGCAACAGAGGGCCCTCCAATGCAACAATAGAGCCCCCTGTGGTTACCAAAGGGCCCTCTGAGGCGAATACGGGGTCCTTTTAGGCAAACGGAGGGCCCTTTGAGGCAAACAGAGGGCCCTCTAAAGGGGCGAATAAAGGGACCCTCTGAGACGAACGGGGGCCAGAGCCCAGAGGGCCCTCTCAGGCACTCAGAGGGCCCTCTCAGGCACTCAGAGGGCCCTCTAAGGCACTCAGAGGGCCCTCTCAGGTACACAGAGGGCCCTATCAGGCACACAGAGGGCCCTCTCAGGCTCACAGAGGGCCCTCTCAGGCACATATAGGGCCCCCTCAGACACACAGAGGGCCCTCTCAGGTACACATATGGTCCTCTGAGACACACAGAGGGCCCTCTCAGGTACACAGAGGGGCCTCTCAGGCTCACAGAGGGCCCTCTCAGGCACACATAGGGCCCCCTCAGGCACACAGAGGGCCCTTCAGGCAAACAGAGGGCCCTCTCAGGCAAACAGAGGGCCCTCTCAGGTACACAGAGGGCCCTTTCAGGCACACAGAGGGCCCTCTAAAACACACGGAGGGCCCTCTCAGGTACACAGAGGGCCCTTTCAGGCACATAGAGGGCCCTCTCAAACACACAGAGGGCCCTCTCAGGCACACAGGAGGCCCTCTCAGGCACACAAAGGCCCTCTGAGACACACAAAGGGCCCTCTCAGACACACAGAGGGCCCTCTCAGGTACACATATGGTCCTCTGAGACACACAGAGGGCCCTCTCAGCCACACAGAGGACCCTCTCAGGTACACATAGGGCCCCCTCAGGCACACAGAGGGCCCTCTCAGGCAAACTACACAGAGGGCCCTTTCAGGCACACAGAGGGCCCTCTCAAACACACAGAGGGCCCTCTCAGGTACTCAGGGGGCCCTCCCGGGCACACAAAAGGTCCGCTAAGACCAGCAGAGGGCCTGTTAAGACGAACAGAA